AAGTATATGCGCGCACTGGATCAATATTACGAGGAAAATTTCCCAGAATTTGTTGCTCTGCGCATAAAAGTACGGGAAATACTGCAAGAAGAAGAGGATCTCTCAGAAATCGTGCAGCTAGTAGGAAAAGCGTCACTAGCCGAAACAGATAAATTGACGCTGGAGGTGGCAAAGCTGCTTAAAGACGATTTTATGCAACAAAATTCCTATTCGTCGTATGATCATTATTGTCCTTTCTACAAGACTGTGGGCATGCTAAAGAATATAATGACTTTCTACGATTTATCACGCAATGCCATCGAATCAACAACAACGGAAGAGAATCGTGTTACATGGAATGAGATACGCCAAGAAATGGGAAATATACTGTACGAGCTGTCATCGATGAAATTCAAGGTGAGTAGGAATTACATTAAAGTAAAGGAGATATAATGGGCGATGTATTTTCTTTCCTTGTTAGGACCCACAAAAAGAGGGAGAACGAAGAATCAAGAGTGATTATAAAAGATTGAATGATGAAATGCAGTATGCATTCAGTCGCCTGTTGGAATAAATTCTTTTGGTAATCGTTTTTTTTTAATGCATAATGCCTTATCTGTTATTTTGAAGTAACCATTTAGTAGAATATAATAGAGAGTCGGAATAAAAAATCTGTATCCTAAATTTACTATTAAATTCGTGGTAGCTTGCTATAAGTTCGGAGGACGCACATGCTGGAATGACAACAACTTTCGCAGATAAGTGACAAAAAAGTGATAAAAAGTGACAAAGCCCCGTTTGGTGCAGCATCGATAAAAACCGGAGGGGGTTATCATAGTCGCTGCAGTTCAGGAAACCAAACTTCATTTCGATTCAAGCCCCCAGAGTCAGAACGAGTACAAAGTTTTCCGAAGAGACTCCACGTTTCGCACCATCAATAAAGATGCTGCTACCAGGATCGTGGGTGACCTTTACAGCTAAAAAAAAAAAACAATGTCGCCCTTACTTACAGACAGCGAATAATTTTACATCTGAAGGGAACAAACTCTGCCGCTGTATGCTAAGTAAAGCACACAAGCTCCGCATACGAGACACATGAATGTGGTGTACTCAAGAGAGACAAATATAGCTATCATATAAGGCGTTAAGACCGAACGGAATATTCGTGCAGATTCTGAAAAAAACTAGGACGTGTCACTGACCAATTTGATGACAGCAGAAGATCATTCTCATTCTAAAGCCAGGAAAGAAGGCGGAGAATGGGAAGAGAATGGTATAGATCCATCTCCCTTATGTTTCCCTGTGGCAAAAACAATGGAAAGACATCACCTCTCCAGCCTAACTAAACACCTCCATACACCATCACCACACAGATCAGCGAGGGTCTAAACCCGTGCCAGGCAAAATACACACATACACAACTCACACTTAGGGCACTTAGCCTCACGAGGCTAATGGCTGCCTGGCACTGATAAAGCAATGCCCACCATGCAACCCTCTGTCAGGAGATCCAGGGCTAATCACTTCCAGTGGGACGATTAGGTAGATAACCAGCAATCTGTGTGGAGGCCAATCATCATTTAAATTTGTGCAAGTGTAAGCCACGTAGTATCCCTTAAGATGGGTAATACAGAAGCCAAGTTACATGACCAAACTCCCTCCGCCGCCAGCTGTAGTGAACTGGGCAGGCTATGCAGATGATTTTCTTATCATGACAATGGAAGCAAACAACAAGAGCCTTTGCGGCAAAAACACTCGCCATATCACCGATCTTTCAACTTTCTTCACAGCCAAAATCCACCGCTGCACTATTCTCGAAGGCCAAGGAGATTTTACTAGAACTCGGCGTGTACGCCTAATATCGCAGCGCAAACCACTGCCACTTGCGATAAATTACTACCATTGGTCTCGGTCAAACTCATAAGTGGCAAACACTTGCTCAGCTTGGCGGCAGGATCGTCCCAACACCCAAAACTTCTTCGCATCACCTCTGACCCGATAACTCCGACGCCGGAAACTCTAAGGACTGCGCGCATCGACGTCGAGTAACTTTGATATATTGCTACGTACATACGTCAACATACATTTACGCTACGTCGTTGACTGCTAGCGCTTTTAGACTTGGCGTGTCAGAGGATGAAGAGGACATCCCCTGTCGAAACGAATAGGGGATTGAGTTCTGCTAAAACATCAGAGTAATTTGGATTCGTTCCCAGTCGGATGTACATAACAGAGACGATCCAGATTCATATCTGGACACTCCAATGTCATTCCCCAAAAAATTCTTCAGATTCTCTTATTAGATGCAAAATATTAGCTCTGATCCAGTACTCTTTGAACTTATAGGTTTTTACACGAACTTGCAGGAAGTTACAGGAAAAATGATCCCGTACTCCAAATTCCTCCAAAATCCTGTAAATGAGAGCGATTTTTGGAGAGTTGTGTAGGTAATGAAGTTGCAAAATTTTACCCGAACTTTTTCTTCTGGTAAAATCATGAAAAGTGTTAAGCGATCACTGGTTGACGTTTTAACAGGAAAAATGCTCTTTCTGTTCCCGTAGTTTTTGTTGTTACTCACTCCAGAGAGTAATTTTGCTGTTTGACATTTTTACAGAATTTTACACGAAAAGTGTTGGATCAGAGCTTTTTTTTTTCGTCGATAAGGGTTATAACCCAAGGTTATTATCCAACGTTCTTTTTTTAAGTTGTCTGATAAACGTTGTAATATAAGAATATTGACGAAAACGGAGATGGGGAAGAAAAGATGATGAAAATAAAAGAGGAGGAGTGAAATAACTGTTATCAGACAACGTAAAAATAAACGTTGGATAATAACAGTTATCAAGCAACGTAAAAAGTAAACGGTGTAAATAACTCTTATTGGTGACGGAAAACATATTTCTCCTGCATAACAGTTACTAGGCAACGTAAAAAGTAAACGGTAGGTTATAACTCTTAACGGCGAAATAAAAATATTTCTTAATTAATAACTGTTATGGAACAACGTTTTTCCGATAAAACTTATAACATTTATGTCCCTGGTATAAAATCTTTCTAACCTGTATAAATTTCCTTTACATACGTGCATAAGTATATGTATGTATATACCAAAAAGGCCCAGAGGCCTTCATACCGATTTGTACTTGGTCATTTTTACCAACCAAAAATTTAATTTCACACTAGAGAACAGCACATACAGATGTATAGACGGCATTGAAAAATGGTATACAATCGGTGTGCATATGTAAACCTAAAATACTTTTTCGAATACAAATATATACTATATATCCTGACATTTATTGCATATCTACGTATGTATATCTCCTCTAACGGTGCCTATGCCTTTGTATAGCATATATGTATGTACATATACAAACAAATATGTATGCATTCAAATATATGTATATGCAAAGATAGACATTTGTATGTATGTATGCATTTTGCCTCGTTTGGTTTGATGCGACTCAATTGAACCGGAACTCGAAATAGCCAAAATATCTGTCGAATACAGTAAAGGAACAATATCGATAGCGAATGTATTCAAAAATAGTAAGCGTTTTACTTTGCTTTTCAAAATGGCAACTAAATTGCCTTAAAGTCTGAAATGAATTTTAAATTGCCATGTACATATGTAGGTACATTAGGGCGGGTCAATTTGTATGGACGATTTTTTCGACTATGCGCTTATAGCACAGAAGGATTCTACGTGGAATTCTAAGCAAATTTTCTCCGAGAAATTTTGGGTCTAACATAAATTTAAAGCTAACCAAATTGTGAAAATAGGTTTCGTAGCATTTTCCTCTAAATTGTTTTTAGACCCATAGTTTCTTCGGCAAATATGCTTAGTATTACATGTACAACCCTCCTATGCTATACCCGCATAGTAAAAAATGAATGAATACATAGAATCAGCAAAAACCTTCGAAAAACTATTCGAAAGCGTCTCAGGGTGCTTTAGTAAAAGCCATTTAATAGCCGCCCACACATTTTGGAATCCAGCGTAAACTTGCTTGCTGCATGGAAACATTAGGTACAACGAAAACTAACTTGAATAGACCTCAGACTTTTACACTGTTATCCACTTGTTATCCCATTAAGCGCCATGCCTACAAATAAGTCCGGCAGTTATAGCAAATCTCCGCATTTTTGTGCTGGCACTGGCCTTTCAACCGCTCTTTCCAATTTAACACACACGACCGTCACCAGAAGTGGTGGAACCATCCATGGCTGGTTTATTACGCTATCAAACTCAAGCGCCCAACTGACCACATAGTGTACCCTTCGTCACTCCTGTAGATTTTGATGTGGAAATTAAATTTTCTTTGTTGACGTGAGCATTTTATTTTTATTGTGGTCATTTTTTTGCGAACATGTAGGTTGAACGGGTAGGGGAGGTGGAAATAAATACATAGGTATGTGTGTACATATGTATGTATGTGTGTAAAGCATAAACATGCATTGGTGGCGACGTGTCATGTTTAGCAAAGTGAAATGCCACAAGCACTCACTTCACCTACTGAGCGGCTTACTTGAACAGAAGAAGCGTTTGTTGGTAGGATCCGGAAATTTATTGACGACCCACAATGTGGCGAGTTTAAATCTTTTTAATATTTTAGCACTTTCGCGTAATAAATTGTAAAGGTTGTGCTAGTTGCTTTTTTCTTCTTTTACTTTTAACTTTAAGCTCTCATAAAATGGAAGGTATGCTATTGAAATATTAAACAGAATTCTTTTGCAATTGTACAAGAGCATCAAAGCTGGCAATGAAAGAAGTCTAAATTCGAGCGAAACCGCAGTTTATGCACGTTACGCATCTTTCCCTCGACAGTCGGGCCAAGGACTATAACTCCAGCTCATCCCCTTAAAACTCTTTGGATAATTTCTTTGTTGTTACAAAACATAACGCCTTTTATGTCACCTGTACCGAATATTAAATGAATTGGCTACTAAATTACCACTATATTCTCCAAGCGCTACGGCATATTCACCGGTAGAAATTAAATATAGCTGGAAGATAGCTGTACTGTAAAATATAGCTAGAGGCTGCAAGTTTTTATTTTAGAATGCACTTTTCACAATACATTTTCAATAAGGTAAATTATTTACATTACATTCAACAAACGAAACGTAAGCTTTTAGCAGCGAAAACAATACATTTAGATTTTGACAAACAAGAAATTCATTTAAACAAATAATACTACGGGTATGCAAATATGTGTATGTAAGCTGGTATTTAATCCGCTTGTTTAGCATTTATATGTATACTGTAAATCGAATGTGCATTTTTGCGGGTAACAAATATCCATTATACTTGTATATCTTCTGCTTGTATATAAGTGTGCGTGTAAACAATAAATGCACATAGTACATATTCCAAAAAAGAAATACAAATGTTAACAATAATATTACAAGTACATATTAGGACGTTCGTGTGTATTTTAACTTTGTTGCCTGGAATTAACAATTTATTTTTCACTTAATATACTGTATAAACACCAACGTGTTGGGAATGTTTTTGGGTTTTACATTTTCATCGAAAAACGATGGTATAGCTAGCGTTTTAATTCTGCTTTTTTTAACACATAAAATGTGGAATGCATGATTTTGTTTTTATAAAGGAATATTTTGTGCCACTTTTGATGCTGCTTCATTACTGTTTGGAATGACACATTTACACGATTTTCGATTAATTAATCTATATAACATTATGATAGGCTCCTTGTCTTTAAGTTTTAATTTAAAATTAAAGCAAATTTGTGTAGAATGGCTTAAGAAGCCTAATCCTCCAAATTTCTGAAGGCTTGGTTCAGATCTTCATACAGCTGTTCGAAATCGGCCTTGATCTTGGCCTCACCATCTTTCACGGGATCCTGTAATGCAAAATGCGAGTTAAAAAATTTCTTTTAAGCATGCAAAGTCTGAAAAAACTCATACTAACCTTGAATTTCATTGAGGACAGCTGGTACATAATGTTGCCCATAGCTTCGCGGATAACGTTCCATGTGATCTTGTTCTCGGACTGCGCCGTCGATTCGACAGAGTGGCGGGCCAAGTCGTAGAAGGTAATTATGTTTCTCAACATACCCACTGTTTTGTAGAAGGGGCAGAAACGATCGTATGAGGAGTAGGAGTTCTGCTGCAAGAAATCATCCTTCAACAATTTCGCCACCTCAAGTGTAATCTTATCGGTTTCGGCCAGCGAAGCTTTACCGACCAACTGTACAATTTCAGACAGATCCTCTTCTTCTTGCAGAATTTCCTTGACCTTAGTACGCAATGGCACGAATTCCGCAAAGTTCTTCTCATAGAAGTCGTCCAAAGCACGCATGTATTTCGAGTATGATATCAACCAATTGATCGAGGGGAAATGCTTACGTTGGGCCAATTTCTTATCCAAACCCCAGAACACTTGTACGATACCCAAAGTGGCAGAGGTGACAGGATCGGAGAAATCACCACCAGGGGGCGATACAGCACCGACAATAGACACCGAGCCTTCGCGTTCCGGATTACCCAAACACTTAACGCGACCAGCTCGCTCGTAGAAGGAGGCAAGACGTGCACCCAAATAGGCTGGGTAGCCAGAATCGGCAGGCATTTCAGCCAAACGACCTGAAATTTCACGAAGAGCCTCAGCCCAACGGGAGGTAGAATCAGCCATCATAGATACGTTGTAACCCATATCACGGAAGTATTCAGAGAGTGTGATACCAGTGTAAATAGAAGCTTCACGAGCAGCGACAGGCATGTTGGAGGTGTTAGCGACCAAAGCGGTACGTTTCATGATAGACTCGGTGACACCATCAATTTCAACAGACAATTCGGGGAAATCACGCAATACTTCAGACATCTCGTTACCACGCTCACCGCAACCGACGTAAACAATGACATCAGAGTTGGAGTATTTGGACAAAGACTGCAAAAGATAGTTAAGAGTTTAGCGCGATGTTAAGAAATACCAACATATATTTCTGTATGTAATATTACGAGAAGTCATTAAGCGCGTAAGTAAACCTCACAGTCTCCTTGCCCGTTTCAATTAACTGTGTTTTGGCGTATTTTCAATTGCCCGTTTTAAAAAGGCCATTTTCACAAGCAATTGCTAGTTTTAGGCACAATTGTGCATCGCGAATGCAAATAATTCTACTTCTTTTACAAAATAAATATGCATATTACTCACCTGTGAGATGACAGTTTTGCCACAACCGAAAGCTCCGGGAATGGCGGTGGTACCACCTTGTACACAAGGGAAAAGCGAGTCCAACACACGCTGGCCAGTCAACAATGGGTGGTTGGCGGGCAATTTCTCAGTGACTGGACGTGGCTGACGCACAGGCCACACTTGCAACATAGTATGCTTAGTGATCTCACCATCGAATTCAGTTTCCAAAACAATATCATCAACAATGTAATTGCCCGCTGGAGCAATGTAGCGTACAGTACCCTTGGTGCGAGGATTAACGATCATCTTGTGTTTGACCAATGTGTTTTCGTGCACAATACCGTAAAGATCACCTCCGGTGATGTGTGAACCGACTTTAACGTTGAGAGGATTGAATTCCCATGCTTGCGTACGCGACAAGCTGGGTACGTTCACACCCTTGGGTATATAGATGGATTCGGTCAATTCGTTAATGTCCTTCAATGGACGCTGGATACCGTCAAAAATGCTACCCATAATACCGGGACCCAATTCGACAGACAAGGGTTTGCCTGTACGCAACACTGGATCACCAACAGTTACACCGGATGTTTCTTCGTATACTTGGATGGTGGCCATGTCACCTTCCAGACGAATAATCTCACCTACCAATTCGAAGTAACCTACGCGCACCAACTCGTACATAGCAGAACCAGCCATGCGTTCGGCTGTGACGACTGTAAAAAATTAGAAAAAAGAAACCGTAAGCTCCCAGAACGGTGCAAATGATCTGCAACATCTACTTACCAGGACCGGACACGGCGAAAACGCGGCCATATTTGCTTTCGCTATCCTCATCATCGAAGCACTTCAAGTTCGACATTTTGGCTTTATTTGATGTTCAACTAGGAAAATAAAACAAAAACCAAATTTTAGAGTAACTTTTTAAATAAGTGATCGCGAATCACTGCAGAATAACTATGGAGCAGGTGGAATGAAGCCAATAAAAATGCGCAGTCAGCTGACAGTATTAAATGAATTAGATGTTAACCACTTTCTCTTATCAATTCCGATTAGAATTCACATGGTCTGAAGCAAAGTATACCTGATAGGAAATGATCGTAATTGCTGAGATTCCCCAATCTTTTTTCAAAGTTTATTTAGATTTTTAATAACTGTTTGTATAAGAAAATTAATAATCCACTTAGAACTTCGCAACCAAATTTTATAATTGCTAATTAGTAGAGCTTTGTATTCACGTGACCTGCTAATGAAGTGTTGTACTTGTTGAAACTTTATGTTCGAATTCGAATGGGCGGCAATAACATCTTTATTTTTCTTCAATTTAATACTTTAAAGCCCAAATTCACGTAAACTACTTACTTTTTCTTTTAAAAACCTTACAGCGCACAAAATAATTAAATACCTATTTGTAAAAAAAAAAATAATGTGGAATGTGCCTAATCTACGATCCACATTCGAACTTCGAAGCTTTGACAGTTGCATTTGACGTTGATCACAAGACTACTGTCATCTGCAAGTGTCAGCTGACGGCTGACTAAATACGATCGAATGCGAAAGAACTACGCAGGCAACCATTTTGAATTTCCGATAATAAACCCATTTATTTTGCTACTGAAATGCATTTTTAACACATTTGGAGAAACTAACAAACCGATATTTCACTTGTATACCAATAACCAAAATTATGCCCTTTTACAATGTTTTGCTGCTAACGATCACAAGACACTCGAGGTCAGCTGACATGCGTAGATATGAAGGTATTTGCTTAAAATCTTAAATTTAAGTTGTAAATATACATTTGTGTTTAATGTTTTGGTTTGTTTTAACAATTTCATAGCATTTTTCACAGTTCTTATCAATATTTTAGTTGATTACATTAATGCAATTAACTTAGAAATAAAAGCTTAACTATTTTACGCCTAGCAAATGCCCACCGCCCTGTTTTATTATCTAATCAGAAACTCTGATTGTCTGCCCTACGCTAAACCAAATAATTACCGTTCTGCTTAGTAATGCGCGCTAATTGGATTTTTATAGCAAACAAAATATTTCACTGTACGGTGGTGCGGCAAAACTTACTTTTTTCAATAGAAATAACTACACGAACGTTGCACTTCTCCAGCAGAACAAGACCAACTGTGAAAATCGCCGACGTCGCCAGCAAATCTGTTTCGAACTTCGAATTTCGATGTCGCACTGATCGCCGAAGTTGAGCAAGCGAAAAGCTCGCGCTCAGCGTTGATTCTCTCGCTCTTTCGAAATTGTATAAAGCTTCGATGTTGCCAGACATTGTGTGCTGTGTATTTTTTAATCAGGGCTGCTTTAAATGTTAATGCACCATTTACCCCAGTTACTGAAGATAGAATTGAATCAAGTATTTACAGTGAAAGAATGGTGAATTCATTAAAAATAAAGCAAGTTGTAAAAAGATCGTAAAATATTATATGTTTCTGCAATGAATTTCAAGTTCATACTACAATAATTTATTTTATTTGAGATACAAAATATTTGACTACTTGATTTCAGACTAAATTAGTGCATTACAATTTTATTAAGGCCCCAAAGGCGACACTTTTCTGTTTTGAACATCGGTTTCACCAGCAATTTAAATGGAAAATGATTTTTTATTTTCTGTGAATTTCCATACACCCGATTTACATGATTCAAGTACTTGAAAGCAATTCTTGCTCATTCTCTTTGGTGTTTTCTATCTGCTTTTACACAATTCAATTCTCTTGAATTCAAGTTTTTGGTTCTTTAAGGGGTTGTTTTCAGTGCCAGTTTAAACTTAGATTAAGTAAACTGAGTTTAAATTGAACAGCTGCCTGACAATTGATTGGCTGATTTTGATTGGCTGGTTTAAACCACGGCCGTGCACTGAAAAACTGGCCATAAATGGGAAACAACGAAAATGCCAAAAGCATGGCAAGAAAGTTAAAACGACTTGACGGTATAGACGCGTGTGTACTCGTCCGTTTTCTTTTCACCATCTCTTCAATACTTGAACTGTGTAAAAGCAGCCATATGAAATTCAAAAAATTAAAATCATTTTGCACCAGTGATGGAAAATCAAAAATTTTAAATTGTGCCAAAATTTTCCGAAAAAATGTGCCTGAATGCAGGTCAATGTGCCAATAGATTAAAAACCGTCGATAGGTGTATAATATATTGCATATATGAAAAAAGTAATCCCACATAAAACATTTCTTAAATGCATCCTTTCTTTTACGAACGCTTAATAGAAAGACCCTTTTCTATATACCTTTTAATTTAATCATACTCTATATTTTAATAAAATAGGGGTTTTCCCTTAAACTCGTAAAAGCGTCTAAAAGCTCGTAAATTTACGAGCCTCGTAAAAGAACTTTCAAAATTTGTATGGAGATCTATTTACGAACCCCTCGTAAAATTACGAGGCAAATATGATGCGCAAACGACCTCATAAACTTCAGTGTTGACGAGGGCCGAAGATTTTATACTAAACTGTATGATAAAGTACTGGAAACAAATGGATAAAATAATAGGTGCATAAAATTAATAAAATTCATTCTCTAACTGGATTTACATGGGTTTTCTGCTAACTCTCGCATTTTAAATTATATTTTAGCTTTGCTGTTTTTTTAAATCAAGGGTACTTTAAATTTTAATGTACTAATCACCGCATATAGAATTTAATGAAGTATTTACAGTGAACAAATGGCGGATTCATTAAAACTAAAGCAGGTTATAAACGGATCAAAAAATACGATATGCTTCTGTAAAGAATTTCAAGTTCATACTACTATAATTTATTTTATTTGAGATACAAAATATTTGACTACTTGATCTCAGACCAAATTTCAAATGGGCACCAAAATCTGTACTTTTAACTAAAAAACTGGGTTGTCTTAGGTTGAAGCAAATACCCGTTTATACGTAACTTTCTTTCTACTTATCCGTCTATATAGTTTTGAAAGTAAATTGTTCTCATGCATAAATTTAACAGTGTCCGAGTAATACGACAAAATATCATAAAATATGGCAATCTTTATAAATCTGTATTTTATAATCACACCGTTACACTTATGTTATTTTGTTTAAAAATGCATAAAAAGCAGAATCTAAATTTAACGAATAATCAGTTTTATTTCAATGTATTCTTGTATTCATTGTATTTCAGTTTTATTCGACGTGGAAAAGGGTAATGTTTGGGAATGCAAAAAGTAGTGGATAGCCCCTATAACCTACGCACGAAAAGAGGCAAGAATTTCTCTACAACGTTGTCATACGAAAGTAATGTGTCGCATGTCGTTTTACGAAACTATAAATAGAATCTATAAATAGAATTAAAAAATAAAAATAAAAAATAAAGTCCGTGCTACAGATTTTGAACCCGTGACGAACAAGACGGAAGTCGAACACGCATCCATTCGGCTACACCAGCTGTTGAGATAACGTGATAAAAACATACTTGAATTAGTTTTCAAACTTTTTGTTCTGTTTGTGGCTTCAAAATTACACATCATCCGCGCATCCACGTTGCGATGCATCTTTTGGTTCAACCATAAGGCCAGTGTATGCAGCTCTCAAGAAAACGGTCAAGAGAAAAATTGCCATTATTTCGTGTGTGTGTGTGTCCAAGGAATTTTGACATCTTATACTTCACCAGCCTGTTGTCTCACTCTTTCCTCAAGAAATAATGGAACGGGCATATATTTCTGTTGCAAGCATGGGTTGCCTTGTGCTATTTTTACACAAAAAACTTTAGAAAACCGCAGTAGAAAGCGTAGCAAATTTCTTAAGAACTGCGTGTTGTTTCAAGAAAATTTTACACAAGAAAATTCCTTAGCCATTTCTTGTATGCCATTTGATATGGAGATTTTGCTTTAAGGCCTGTATGCAGCTCTCAAGAAAAGCAAAAACTCCATATAAAATGACGTACAAGAAATGGCTAAGAAATTTTCTTGAGTCAAATTTCCTTAAAGCTTAGTATCCAGCTCTTAAGAAAACGGTCAAGAAAAAATTGCCATTATTTCGCGTGTGTGTCCAAGGAATTTTGACATTTTTGATAACGCACAGCCTGTTGCCTCACTCTTTCCTCAAGAAATAATGGAACGGGCATATATTTCTGTTGCAAACCTGGGTTGCCTTGTGCTCTTTTTTCACAAAAAACTTTAGAAAACCGTAGTAGAAAGCGTACTAAATTTCTGAAGAACTGCGTACTGCCTTAAGGAAATTTGACTCAAGAAAATTTCTTAGCCATTTCTTGTACGTCATTTTATATGGAGTTTTTGCGTTTCTTAAGAGCTGGATACTAAGCTTAAGGCAGTACGCAGTTCTTAATAGGGCATTCGCACGGGGCGATTTTACAGGCAACAAAAGTTGAATACGAAGTTGAAAGTGAAAAAGTTGCCATTCCTATTCAGACGAGGCGATTTTCGATTCAACACGAATCGTTATTTACATTATTGAAAATGAATTTAAATCGCAATATTTTATCAATTGGCGTAAATTTGGTAAGCCAAGCGTTGGTAGAAGTGCTTTTAGCGAAGCTGAAAGATAAAATAAGAGTAAAAAAGTAAAAAAGAAAAAAAAAATATGTATACAGAACAGTGTTGGCATTTTTGGTACAATTGTTCTTGTTTGATACAATTTCATTTACAATATACTTTCCTACTACGCAGTACTTTTTAGTACAATTTTGTAATGAATACTAAAAATATTTAGCTCTGAAAATTCACAGCAAGAAATTTTTTGTATTCTCTTTTGTACGCATGTTCGTATTTACCTTTGTAAGTTTTGAAAAATGGCTTGAACGAACCAGTATAATATAGCCTAGGCAAATTTTTAAAGAAACTTCGATACTAAGTTTTATTAAAACAAAATGTCGAAGTCAGCTTCATATAGAAACAAAGTCTTCGTTAGTTATAAGAAGAGATTTTCTTAAATATAATACCTTTACGGCACTCACATATTGACAAGATTTTACTATTTATTTTATTATTCTTTAATTTTAATTATCTGTTTATAAAATATAATGTATTCTTTAAGAAAAACTGAATGTATTCTTTAAGAAAACCCAAGATTAAATCTTTGCGAAACATCCAAAAACCAACATACTTTCGTAAAAATTTCGAGCTTTATTAATATTCTTTAGTTTTTAGCCCATTCAATTTTAGTATAATAAAGTGCAAGTTTAAAGTAGCTGGGACTTACCGTTGAACTTGGCAATTTTTTTTTGTCGACGATGTCAGCCATTTTCTTCCATACGAAGTGTGTTCGACGATTTTTTTATATGGAGAAAATTAGCAACACCTTCTTCAAAGAAATCTTAAAAAACTTAGTTATATTAAAATTTAATGGGCAAAAAACCGCACACTCAAAATAAATCTAGGAAATCGAATTAAAAAGCTCCAAATTTTTACGAAAGTGTGTTGGTTTTTTTAATGTTGCACAAAGTTTGAACCTTGGATTTGTACGGCTTTTCTTAAAATATAAACCGTATTTATACAAAAAATAATTAAAATTGAATAATATTAAGATAAATGGTCAAATCTTGTCGTAAAGTTTTGATGAGCACTTGAAATGCTGTTAAAATGTCAAATTTTAGTACTGAATCCAAAGGAAAATGTCCCTTTTATCCATTAATAATAACTTAAATATGCTTTTTGTTAAGATGTATACCTGAAAATGTGTGCATACATATTTGCGTTAAATGCAGTACGTGTGCACGTGGAATCAATTTGTAAAAGTGTAAAATACGTAAACGTATGTACATAAACAATAAAACTTTCTCATGAATACCATAAAATCATTGGTCTTGAAGGGAATGTACTAAGAAAATATATGAGCGAATTAAAAAGTCGAGGAGTACATTTTTTGTATAGTTTCGTACTGAAGGAACAATTTCATTTCCCAACACTGATACAGAATGTATACATATATAATAAACACATATATATAAACAAACACAGGGTTGCAAGGAAAAAAGTTGAATGAGCTCAAAGTTGGCTGGCGACCAACTTTGTTGAAAGCGATTAGTTGAAAGGCCGTTCCGACGAGGCGATTTTTGCTTTCAACTAAAAATTGCCTGAAAAATCGCATCATGCGAAAGCCCTATAAGGAATTTGCTACGCTTTCTACTACGGTTTTCTCAAATTTTTTGTGAAAAAAGAGCACAAGGCAACCCAGGTTTGCAAC